TGATATGAAATATGTCGAATTAAAATACAAACTACCATTAATTTCTAATATTATAGAAAAACTGAAAATTGACTTGTGATCATGATTATATATGTAGCTTGACCATTGTTAATGGTTTGGCCCATCGCGCTACTTCGTAGCACTTGCTTGCTCTATCCAGAGCCCTTGCGCTTGCAGTAGCGCGCGCCCGCAGTGGCGCGAAAGCACATGGTTAGGTGAAGCACTTGCCGTAGAGAAGAATGTGGCGCGCGCTACTTCGAATAAATTTAGACGAGTAACACATAACATCCGTCAAACATGTAGTTAACGGGTGATACTTGTAAAATATCTGTTCCAGTGTTCCATATCATTACTTAGCTTGTATTGCTTGTATTGCTGTTTGCTTGGAGGACGTGACTTCGTCGCTTCGACGCGCCGCGCAAACTATCATTATTACTTCGCATCGAAGTTCGATGAGATCGTTGATTCACGATGTCAATCCTTCGCAGCTCGGTGAGGCACAGTGGTGCATCTCGCCGATCTACCGAGAAGAATTATCTGATGCGCGGCGCGACCCAGTAGTGCATCGCGCTACAAATGAGATCGTTGCTCTGTTGATTTGCAGAGCAACGATCTGGAAGGGTGGACATCGTTGATCAACTATATACTTGCTAGTCCGTAGTCTATTGCTCTAAATTATGCTATCCTTATAGCTTCTTGTAGGTTTATAACCTACCAAGACGCGCGCCGAGTTTTGAAAACAAATATTTTACAAGTATCACCCGTTAAATAGCTTCCTGTTCAGGAAGCATGAAAAGAACGCCGCGCACAGGGATTGGCGAGCCAGGTAAGTTATCGAAAGGCCGTAGGTCAAAGTAAAACGCTGCTTAAACATTAAAACCAATTCCAGAGGTCCATAAACACTAAAGATTTGATTATATCTTCGCAATCTCGATTCAAGCGAATTATTGTGAAACAGTGACTGATGGTTAATTGATGAAGGAGCCTACCAAAAATTTTTGTGAAGGTTCACAACATCAGTCAATCAGTTGATCAATAAAGTTGTAAGTATATTCTAATCAATCTTAATGTTACCTTAAATGATTTATGTTCCCCCAAATGTGTACTGGAGGATGCCTCTACAGAATTTGAGATCTACATTGTGCCAACATACATTATAGCCAAAAGTTGTGACCCTGAACCAGGAATCAGGCAGACGAGTTCTTTTCTATATTTAACTGACACTGTTATGTCAGGGCAACGAAAAATTTTAAGTTCAGGCTTGGCCAAGAGTAGAGAGAGAAGCAACACACAAGTATGAAAAAGAAAGAGCTTCAATGTTATGTGTAGCAGCATAGTTGAATTAGAATTGAAAATTCGTCATTATAATGATTATATCATGTCTGAACAGTCAAGAAAACAACAATTTCAAGAAAACAACAATTTTATTTAGTATCAGTTAAAGCAGACAAAAACATATTTTATAAATATAACTAGCGCGAACTTTAGACCATATATCTTAGGGGACTGGAGTAGCAAGAATTTAAAAACATTAACTTAAAAATATACTCACGAAGGTTTAGTCCAGGTTTTGTAGAGCCAGGTACTGGTCCCCAATTGGGAGCGGTCGTTAGATCTTCTTCTAGATTTTGAACAACTGCGTAGCGCAACAACATCTCTTCTATGAAACGATTAATGAATTAAGACTCGAATGGATAAGAGGTTACAGGTATCATGGAATGTGGTTTGGAAATTCGACTGCATGCACATGTAAATTTATCTCGACATGGTTTGGTCAACTCCGGGCCACATCACCATTGAATTCCTCAGCTCATACCAGGGGGATCTGCAAAACTGACCATTTATCACAGAGCTAAGAAATTAATTCGCAACAGACGGTTAACTCAGCCGGATGATCTAGACCATAATAACATGACCAAGACGAATTCAAAATAGCATGTAAGAAGTACATGCACTAGTGAATGGACGTCTGGTTCAACTGGTTGTGTTCTGAACAGTATGACATGGGAGCCCGACCAAGTAGTTTGTCCGGAACGGGCAAGCAAAACCCCTCACACTTCAATTCAATGACTCTTTGAGAGTGCCATGAATGAGGGAGTAGCTAGGACCATTGGATCATGTGCGAAATCTCCTCGGTCGACTCAGCGAATGGTAGGAAACTTAAGAAACTTCCTAGGATACCCCTTCTGTACAAACAGAAGGACTAAGTTAACTATCAAAACTGTTATCTATTAACAATGTCAATTACGGTGTACTTCGCCACCCATGAAAGCAAGGAGGACATTTGGCTATGAAGCTAGGTGACGAACGACATGACAATAGGAATAACAAGTTTTTTGCAAGCAATGATTGTTGATGAACATCAGATGCGATGGGCGCTCGAATTTTGAATAATTTCATAATAATGATAGCGCCCAAAATGCGCGGCAACAAAATCTCAAAATATATTCTAGTTTTTATCATTAATCATCGTTTAGTAGAGGCTCTTATAAAAAAATACGGGCATTGGTCTCTCGATACGTTAGGGACCCCAGATACACCTTAACTAGACGTATTTTTGCACCGTTAGAATCGATTTGAAAGTGGTTTCAAGATGATTGGGACTGATTGTTCTGGGGGTAAAATTGCAAAAAACCGATTTTTTTGGGCCAAAAATTGGCCCAAAAAAACCATGTTTTTTATATTTGACAAGTTAATTTTCGTTGGCTGTCGGCAAAACTTGCATAAAGATAGCTAAAGACAGCCGCATAAGATTGTATAAAATTAAAACAAAGCCCTCTATTTGTTCTGCAGGTAAATATAAAAAAATCCAAAAAAGTGGTAAAAAATTTTCGACTCTTTTTTTGCTTTAAGTGTGAATAATTTTTGCAGTTGTATTAAATCAACCCAAAAATTGTCACATCGTGTTTGCCTAAATTTTCCTTTCGAGAAGTACCCACTTTCATATACCTTAATCGAAGTTTGAATATTGACACTCCGCAAGCGTTTTGCCAAATTTCGTCGGCACTACGCGCAAAAAGCATTTCGTTGTTATCAATTGGCAACCCGCGCGTTCATCATAAATTCAAAAACAGCTATAATCAGCGAGATTATATGTCCGTTCTAGCTCAACTTTTCACCTAAATAAAAATAATGTGATCTTATTGTGACAAAAAATATGGATATAATTACTTTATTTGCCTTAGGAGTAATAGACTGTCAAAGTTTTTAAACGGCGCATTGGTATTAGCACGTGACTAAATAAGGCCAAATTTATACTTCTTAAACATCTTATCGATCCTAAGACATCATACTATTGTGTCCAAATTAGCGGTTAGGTCTCTAAACTGTAGCAAGAAAACACGTCTTGTTGCCCGTAAAGAGGCCTGATTTGGACCAAATATGGGCGTGGCTGCCCCACGGGCACCGTTTGGCGGTTGGGGTCCGGGACCCCCTCAAAAGTTCGGTCACCGGTCCTAGTTTGTTGGTTAACTGACTGCTATCTCGAAACTAAGTTTCACAAAAAAATCAGGGTGAACCCCCCCCCTTAAGGCATAAGGAAGCATTGTTGAGTTCTGAAACCAAGTTTAATCGATTTCTCGTGCAATTTTAGGTTAGGAGTGATCATCAAAATAAATTTTGAACAAAGTCGATATTTTGGTAAATTTCTAGCTTTCTGTCAGAAAATAAATCTTCATTCTATTAGGGGTAATTGGATGTAACTACAGTACAGCTGTACTTACACCCACTTTCACAAGCATGCAAGCTCACCTGGTCCAAAGAGCGGGAAACGGAGAACGAGCTCTGGTGACGTCATAGTCACGTGACCTCAGGCTCATAATCACGTGACCTCAGACCCAATCAATTGGGTTCTGGCCTGTTCAGCCCCCTGTCACCCGATCTTGAGGTGACGTACGACAACTCGTTAACCCAATCGATGTCTGGAGGGCTGCAAATTTTCACATGCCAAACTCACAACGGTTTTTCGGAGTTGTGCGAGATGAAGACACATAGAGGCCGCAGAATTATGAGGACTACCAGATCCTGGTGGAACCTAAGCGATCCATGATATCACGACAGGCCCTAATTATTATGTAACCATGTATAGGTAGCAGCAGGCGTTATATGTAGTATTGCCAGATCCTAGTTCATTTTGTTACGGAGTTTTATATTAACAGGAAACGATGTAACAGAGTCGATATATTTTAATGTTGCCATGGGGTGGCAAGTCCCCATACATCGTGGTCCGGTAGTTTCATTGCGTTCTAATATGTAACTGTAAGTATAGAGACTACTCTGCCGGATCCAGAATGTGAGTTGGTACGCGCACTACGCAGTCAGGCATTGACGGTTTAAATGAATTCTGATAACCCACTCTTATATTTGCTGTAGACAAAAGCTGTGGCATACCATGTAATGCGTGGAGACATCAAATAGGAGGCAATATGTTATAAAACGTCTATTTCCCCGGTATATTTATCATATCGGATCTCTATAAGGTCTCTATAAGGTATCGACTGCCTAGGCATCAAACGATTGGGCGACATCTGTTCGACAGCCGAATTAGCGGTTTTGGACAGGAGTCGCTGTCGTGTTACCGCATCAAACCTTGGCAGTCAGTAAATTATCATTATTATTATCAACCATATATTAACCATATATTAACCATATATTAACCATATATTAACCATATATTAACCATATATTAACCATATATTAACCATATATTAACCATATATTAACCATATATTAACCACAATTTTTATTGCCTAATTTTTTATAAATTCCGCCTTGATCTCGAATCTCGCTTACGTTAACAACGTTCCTCAATTTCCTTCATTCAGTAGAGAGGCCTAGCCAATTGCTAATTATACTATTTCCGGTAACTGTGTGAGTATATTTTTAAAATACAAAATATTATTTTATGTAAGTTAGACTATTTTAAGTAGGTTCAGTTATTTAACCCTCGTTAGTTAGGAACTCTGTTTCATAGCAATCTGTTTTATAGCAAGCCGGCTTACCTGACATCGTGTCCACTTTGTCTTGTAATTCCTGTCCCGCTATTTGAACTTTAACGTTTCTCTCCTCCTCAAGGGTTGTTTTCTCGTTCATCAAATGAATCAGAAGGTTATCTTTCTTCTCAATCTCTTCTGACAGTATCTTGAAGCTGTATAATTAATGATTTGATTGTGGGTTGAGTTGAAACTGTTTCGGTGGCAGCACGTACATATATAATTACATGGATTCTGGGCTATTGCCTTAAGATATACGAGTTTGTGTAAATGTTTATTTTGATAATATTCATCAAACCATATTTTAACAATTACACTCCTTCACTGTCAAATACTACTACAGTAAAACCTCTATACTGTGCCTATCGGGTGAAACAATCAGTGCACGGTAAAGACTTGACTTCAAGTTATCAATTATTCTTGCCAGTGTCAAGAGATGTGGATTCTGGTGGGTAGCATATTCCCTGACACGTGACAGCAATTAACCAATCAGCGTCCACTATTGAGTATTGACCAATCAAAACCCAGAATCACTGTCACCCAAAACAATATGCCTCAGCAGAATCCACATCTGAACTAACCGTTGATCTAAGATGGCGAGAGCGTCAGTTTCCCGTCCCCTTTCAGCAGTTATACCGTCCGACTGCCCAGCAAACTTGTCTAGTTGGTCCAGGTAACTGTTTGCTGTAGTATTTATCGAGTCTTGCAGGGTCCTGTTGAAGAGTTTTTAACAAGTTTGAAGCCATTTTGATATCCCATTAAATAAAATCATTTACTCTTCTGTCGCTACAGACCACACTAATTTAAGAAATGCTTATAAAATTGAACCAACCTAATGACGTCCTCCTTTAACCCGACCATCGTGACAGCATCTTTTTTGTCTCGCTTGAGATTTAGTATTTTCATTTTACTGTCAGCCAGTTGTCCTTCGTACGACTAGATAAATAGATGTATCAGTTTGAAACACAATATAATTGTACCCATAAAAGTTTCTTTATAATATTGGCATTGCTCGTACCCGTAACCATAACCTACTATACTGTATACGATTATCGTCTGTGGTAATCATTGGCCCAATTTTATCGGCTTTACCTTTACTAGCACTAGCAGGAACCCGTCTAACCCTAAAGTGGTGTCAAGACTCGAGAGACTAAAATAATTATTACCTATTTAATTCGCGTTTTTGACAACATTTGGGAGTTCAAATTTTGGGCACTAAAATTCTTATTCCTTGGCCAATTTTTTGTTTTTTCATGCCGATTTGAAGGCCATTAAAGCATTTGACCCAGTCGAAAAAGTTTCAGTTGCATATCTTTTACGGTTTTTGCGAAAATTTGCGTTAAAGTTGATGCCGTGGTGACAGTTAATAATGGCACGGATCCATATCGTCTCGCTTTATATATAGTAAGATTGGATCCAAAATATGATACTATAATAATAGTGTCCCAGCTTCTCTAGAAAGAAAAGGAAAAGGACCGTGGTTGACCGCGAACTTAAGGTGTTTTTATCCTCTGCATGAGCATTTATCATCCAAAATGGGCGTTTTTTTCTTTGCCAAATGTTATCATCAGTTCTAATCAATTTTTTAATTTTTTCGCCGGACCGATATTAAATATGAACTTTTCCAGTTTCATGATGATTAAAATTTAAAATGCATGAAAAATAAACTTCGTTATGTTGACCCAAAAACTAACCTGATTGAGAAGTTCACTTTGTCTTCGCATAGCTTCAACGTCACCAACTACTTCCTCGCTCTTTTTTAAACTGTCTGCAAAAGTATCACGTGACATTAAACATCGTACACAAGAAATAAATGAACGTGTATTAATTCCTACTTCCTTGATACCTAATGTTTATATATTGGACATACTAGTAACCCATTTATTGAAGTTATATCTTCAAGTTTAACTTAAGTGATTTGCACCACTGAAAATAATTTTAATACTTACTGAAATTTTAATTCCCACGGCTTCATATTATATGCTGCATTTTGTTAAAAGTTAGGACGTTAGGTTGAAGTAATTACACGATATATCATTTTAATAAACCTTTAACCAATTTTACCAGCTTAACCTCGTCCTGAAATCGTTATTTTAATAAAATTAGGACTCTCTGTTTCTGCCACTCATTAACAACGTGCATGGTACAACTTGTGTCGGCATAGGGTTTATTTATTATTTAACCAGTTAAGTAATTAAGCTTGTTGTGTACTGTGTAACACGTGATATGACACGTTCGGCAACTTCCTCACCACGCTCCATTCCTGTATGCTTCAGAAACTTCGGTATTTATGCTCGTTTATTAACGCTATTTATCCCGTGGTGGAAACCATGTCAATTGTCAAGCTTTGATCAAATTAATCAATCTTGATTGGTATATAACCGTGCTTCTGAAAACTAACCGTTTATTATAAAAGCCTGAAAACCTGAACCAATGTGTTGGTGTTTTCTGCAGTTCTAAGCATCAGTTTTTAATTCTTTTTTCTCAAAGTTGCTCAGATTTATTGATCGCACAATCATGAAAACAGTGAAAAAAACAGTCTTTTAATCTATATAATTCACGAACCTAGCATATCTTTTAAGTCACTTTGATACTGGTCCCTTTCTTCTTTGAGTGACATTAGCTCATCACCCTGATCTTTATATAGCCTCTGCATGGTACGGAGTGCTTGTTCCATTTCTTTTGATTCGGAGCTCTGGTCAGCGTATGACTCCTGAATAAGAAAAATTTTAAAATTTTGTTAAAATTATTAAACTCGTTGTATAGATATACTTCAGTTCCTGATTTCTGAATAAACATAGCTTTTTAATCACATTGAATAATAAATATATATTGTGACGACGATGTCGGTTTCTTGGTCGTCGTTCTAGGTTTGCTTTCAAATATTTTGTTAACAATAACACTTCGACAGTTGCGAATATTCATGTAAGGATATTTTTAACGTTTCTGTTTTGGCAGTAAAAACTGTAACTATGATGAGTTGCCACATTGGGTCAAGTAGGGTTGAGCTAAAGCCTAAAAGCTCATACATCAATGACATGTTCATGTTGACTATAAGTCCATAAAAACATTGCCTCTCGTCTGTTCAATAATAATTATCTAATCGTTTTAAATTACCTACCAGTATTACCTGCCAGCACTGTGATAACAATTGTTATTTAACATAAACGTGTTTAGTTCCATATTTTATTATTCACCTGAACATCTCGCAGTGTTTCCCGGAGACCGTTCACATTAAGTTCTAAATCCATGATTTTGTAATCCTTTGTCTCCTCAGCTCGCTCAGTGACACTCATCTTTTTTCTCAGTTCACAGTTCACGTTCACTAAGTCTTCCACAAAATCGTCCAGAGCCCTGATGTTGTTACTTCCTTGTTATTAAGAAGGGATGGTTATATGATTATAGAGTTGATTACAATGTTACTACTAATTTTATATATAGTTGTGTGTAGATGATGCAGCTGAACTTGTCAATGAAATGAAGTTTATTATATTTAATTAATCGCGGAAAAATTGTATTTATAAATACATCTTTTTTACAATTTATAATTCCCCAATGTTCCAATTATAAGCAAGATTCTGCTATATCGTAGTAAAACCAAAAAAGAGAAATGGAGCTTTCAAAAAGGTCATGGAATTAAACAGGAATTAACAGGTCACGTAATGCCTGGAATCATTTAAGAGCAAGGAGGGACAGCTAGCGTGTGATGACGGCTCAAAAAGTAAATAACAAGGTGTGCAGCGTAAAACAGCAGTCTAAGGTGGACGGAGCTTTATTACGTGATGTCTGAGAGCACTGAGAAAGCCCTGTGAAGGAGGCGGTGAAGGGTTCTGTGGTAGTCCTTTTTAAGGAAGGACAAATGACAGTTCCATCATTCTAATTGCTATCCGGGGGAACCCACCAACTCCCAGGCAATCCCCTACCAACCAAACGGTTCTTGGCAAGTTTTCGTGAAAAATGTAAACGGGCTTTGGCTTGGACAAACTTTATTTGAACGGACATAAATTAAACCCTAGGGCCCTCAAGCGTTCGCCGTTCACGTAATGTTCGTTCTCGTAATGTCCGTTCAAATAAAGTCCTGATATGGTAGTTGTCTGTTCACAGATCGCCTTCTAAAACTTACAAGGAAATATTTCCTGTAGATCCTTGGTATATAAGCAACATTTGACAGAGCATTGTGTGGAGTGAGCTATGTGCCCATCCTTGGAGAACCCGGCGAATGTCCTTGCTGTACGGCAGTGTTAAACAAGGAAATGAAACCGAGGGGTTCCGTTCAGGCCCTTCACACTTTGTTTCTGTTTAGTTCTAATGTACCGTCACAATAGTGACTTTAATATATACCAATCTATAATAGTATAATGGGGAAATTTTCCAAACCTCTCCGATTGTTCCTCAGTTTCAATTTCGTATTTAATAAGCTGTATTCTCGAAATTGTCTCTTCCATTTCAGTGCATGCTGCCTGGAAACCAAAGGTATTATTGTTAACCAGCTAATTTTAAGGGAATGACAATAGCAATTAAAATGACACAGTTCCATGAAAGTAAACTCAATTTTGACATTATCTTTCTCGTTCCATTTACATAACTTTGTTTATAATAGTTTCTGGCGAGTATATCCAATATAATACTCGGCTAGTATATATGAAACATTTGTCATGGAGTTGTAGAGGGAGTTATGTGCTCGCGGGCTAAAGTACGGATGACCTTGCTGTACGGCAAGTTAAACAAGGATCTGAACTACTAGGTTCCGTACAGACTCAACTCTGCACCCGTGTCAATATGTTCATTATATGCAAGCCTCTTGATTTATAATTAGCGTACGAGACCTTAGTCGATATAGGTATCGAAAGTTCATAACCTGAATTGTAGCCAACTCGTCTTCCAGCTCCCCAATAGTGTTACGAGACTCCTGATAATCAGCTTTATGTTGTTCAACCTGATTTAATATGTCGTTTGTACGTGGCTTTACCGGATAAAACATAACAGGTTTAACATGATATGAAATAAACATGATTTGCATTCTGCAACCACCATACACGAGTTACCACTAGTTACCACTAGTTACCACTAGTTACCACTAGTTACCACTAGTAACCACTAGTAACCACCATACAGCCAATTGTTTTGAATCATAAATCTCAAATCTGGTCGTGTGAGGCCTGAAATTGGATTGAAAACGCGAATATTGAGCAAAATTTTGTACGGACAGGACATTACTTCACGGTCACCACTTTAATATCACAATGTCATCAAATTAATTGCATGATATTGCAATATCAACAATCAATATCTTCAATATCATGATGAACGTCACTCATGGACTCAATACTATTATTTGATTGACTTTAACCCATTAGGGACGATAGGGTCGTTTTTATAACCCACCTTTTCTAGACGAAAAACCAAATTACTAAACGCTATAACGAATCTATAGCATATATGCTCAAAATTTATTGGGCTACATATAATGAAGCCCAATAAATTTTGAGCTCAAAATTTATTGGGCTACATATAATGAAGCCCAATAAATTTTGAGTATATATGCTATAGATTCGTTATAGCGTTTAGTAATTTGGTTTTTCGTCTAGAAAAGGTGGGTCATAAAAACGACCCTATCGTCCCTAATGGGTTAAAATATCAACTGTGCTCATTCCCAGTTGTCAGCAAAAATAATTCGTTCGTCACAAAACCTTCAATTTGAATTACCCCCAGACACTCCCACACTAATACCGTCACTGTACCGTCATATAAAGATGGCAGGAACGTGTTTTATGACTCACCAGAGTGTCCATAAAATCCACCGTAGCATCAATCTCTTCCAGCTTATTTTGACAACTTTCTTTTTCCGATTTTAGCTTCGTCGAAGCCACCTACGAAAAACACATATTGTCATAGGTCATGTAGTACAGATAAGGTGCAGAGCTTTTCTCTTATAAACTTTTAAATATTTTATCAGTTATACACCAGGCCTTTTCCGATTGTATAACAATATTTATCTGAGCCTAAATGATGTACTAACAGGCGATCACTATTTTTTAACCTGACAACGCGTCAACGATATTTAGCCCTAATAATAATAATTATGTTGATATAAAGATCGTATATTTGAAGAGAACATGCAAATTGCAAAGATTCAAGAAGTCGGTATTTTTGTTCATATGTCCTTTCTTAGGGAATCTAATAACCTTGAATCATTATCGAGAAAGTTATTCTAAAACGCTGCCCACTTCATTACGTAATTGCCACATATTTTCTTTGCTCGGCCCTAGAAGTCAGTAGAAGTTACCTTTGATAGTTTCATGGAGACAGTAAGAACCATTTAATTATTTAACCATCTCTGTTTCACTAAATGGTGCAATTTAAATTCGACACTACTGTCTATTACAAGCTTGTCCGCCACTGGTGAAGTATTTCTTTCCAGATTCAGCTTAACAGATTACAGCTAAAATATTTTTTGCCGAGAACTGATATGATTTCTATATATGAACAGCTAAGTAAGCAGCTCAAACTTATATTTAACAAAATTAACATCAGAAAAATAATAATAAACATAATGAAAAAGTTAATAGAACAAATGGCAACTTTTCACCAGGACCTGCAATTACCTGTAATTCTTCATGACTCAGAGATAACTTGAGCAGATTCTCCTCTAACTTTGTCCTCTCACCCTCCACCACCCCCAACTTCTGTTCCTTGTCCTCCAACTTTGCTTTAAGAGTCTCAATATATGTGGTCTGAGCAGAGAGCTTCTCTCCAAGTAAGGACAACTGGTTGTACACTATGTTCTGGATGATGTATTTTCTTATAGTAGCAACCCGCTAACAGCCGGCTAATAGCCATAACAAAACACTAGTATAAAGCGCCGGCTGTTAGAGGGCAGTTAGAGGGCTGTTAGAGGGCTGTTAGAGGGCTGTTAGAGGGCTGTTAGAGGGCAGTTAGAGGGCAGTTAGAGGGCTGTTAGAGGGCTATTAGAGGGCTGTTAGAGGGCTGTTAGAGGGCTATTAGAGGGCTGTTAGAGGGCAGTTAGAGGGCAGTTAGAGGGCTGTTAGAGGGCTGTTAGAGGGCTGTTAGAGGGCTGTTAGAGGGCAGTTAGAGGGCTGTTAGAGGGCAGTTAGAGAGCAGTTAGAGGGCAGTTAGAGGGCAGTTAGAGGGCTGTTAGAGGGCTGTTAGAGGGCTGTTTGAGGGCTGTTAGAGGGCAGTTAGAGGGCTGTTAGAGGGCTGTTAGAGGGCTGTTCGAGGGCTGTTAGAGGTCTGTTAGAGGGTTGTTAGAGGGCTGTTAGAGGGCTGTTAGAGGTCTGTTAGAGGGCTGTTAGAGGGCTGTTAAAGGGCTGTTAGAGGGCAGTTAAAGGGCTGTTAGAGGGCAGTTAGAGGGCTGTTAGAGGGCTGTTAAAGGGCTGTAAGAGGTCTGTTAGAGGGCAGTTAGAGGGCTGTTAGAGGGCTGTTAGAGGGCAGTTAGAGGGCTGTTAGAGGGCAGTTAGAGGGCTAGTTAGAGGGCTGTTAGAGGGCTGTTAGAGGGCTGTTAGAGGGCTGTTAGAGGGCTGTTAGAGGGCTGTTAGAGGGCTGTTAGAGGGCTGTTAGAGGGCTGTTAGAGGGCTGTTAGAGAGCTGTTCTGGATGATGTATTTCTGTAACCTTGACAGGTTACGTAACTCTCATTTAACTTTTGTAGAACGCGATAGTTGAATGGGAGATTTAAAAGGTCGGTGATTACCTGGGACTTAAATGCTTCTAGAGTGAGTGACTTGAGCTCCTCCTCAGTCAGCAGACTGTTTGCTATGGGAACTTCGTTTCTATCCTGTGTCCCTGTAGTTATTTAACTTATGAAAATGTTACTTAAGCATATCTATGGATCATTGGCTTATGATGGGTATATAACAACTTCTGCAAAGAACTGAATGAACAATTTACAGTTCAGCAACTGCTACAAATTTAGCTGCAAGAAGTGGTATGTTACTGACGGAAGTTTGGACAAACTCTAAAGAGGAACTGCGAACCCTGATGCGGGACAGGTATGTATGGAGGGGTTATCTGGCGTAGATCGGACTTAATTGCGAGCTAGTTATAGTAATAGATGTAGTCAAAAAGGGGATGTTGATTACCGGGGTATATCTTGATGAGTTCGTCCCCTGTTATATTTGTTCTGCACACAGGGCATATAGTCGAGTTCTCTAACCATCTTTTCACACAGTCTCCGTGAAAAATGTGTCCGCACCTGCATAGCAAAAAAGGGAGAAAAGTATAACTTAAACTGGCTCATAAAAGTAGTTGCTTTGCGCTTGGTAAACATTGTCAAGATTATGCTTATTCCATCTAGAATGGAAGGAATGTAATTTTAAGTACGTAGGTACCTTGTAGAATTGATATCAGATACGGTGTTGTCCTTGCAAATGGAACAAACCCCAAACTGCGCCCCGGAGGTACTGGGAGAGTTCCGGTCCTTACCGGACATTTATGTTCTTTCAGAGGGCACTCCTTATACTGCACCACTATGTTAGTGTTACAAGAAAAACTTCAACAAAATATCGGCAGCCAAAACATATACGTTAACAAGTTTTGTTATAAAATTAAAACGACATACACTGAAACTTGATACTCAGGAGCTGAGGTCCGGCTGTTTTTATCTCTAGCATGAAACACTCGTGATCAGGGATAAGAACTGCCTTTTCTATTGACGTTTTTGACAATATCTTATTGCTGATTAAGCTACTTTCCAAAATATATTTGTGTCAACTGTTTCTTATTCGATACGGCAGTAAGACCACCCACGATTTAGAATTATTCATATTAACACATTTTTATAACTTTATTAAACAGCATCGTTTTATTTATTCTTTTATCAAACCAAATGAATTATGATTGAGATTCGGGAAATTTTGTACGTATAAAAGGAATATTCTGGAAGATAAATCTGCCAGGTTAGGCTTTTTAGCATGGTTACAAAACCACCCACGATTTAGAATTACTCATATGGCCACATATTGACACATTTTATTACTTTATTAAACAGCATCGTTTTATTTGATATTTTATAAAACCAAATCAATTATGATTGAGATTCGGAAAATTTTGTACGTAGAAAAGGAATATTCTCGAAGATAAATCTGCCAGGTTAGGCTTTTCAGCATAGTCTGACAGAAGCTGCAGCAGACTCCACCCACTTAGTCTGCAATTGCTGTATTGTAATTCGTAGCCTTTCAGTTAACGCTCAACAAAACAAACATATTATATTAAAAATCATTTTTAGTAACTTAAGCAATTCGCTACAATAACCTTAACAAAATCTCAAATTAAGTCATTCAAGTAATACCCATATTCAAGTCTGTAAATTATTTTAACTCCCACTTCCAACTTCTAGTCCGCAGACTGAATTTCCAAATAACAGTCATTGTCTCTGAATTGCTTGACTCGTCTATATAAGAGTTGTTTCAGAGCTTCAATCGAGAGGAAAACTCACTTTGCTCATCCTCAGTTTCCTCACTGTAATTTCAGTACCCGTATTTTTAAATTATCTGCACAGTCATAACCACAATGCCTCCATTCTCCAAGATTAAACCCCGCTATAACGCAAACCTCGCTATAAGTATAAGGGGTCGTTCACATATTACGTAATCAGCCGAGGGGGAGGGGTGGTTTCCAAATGATTACGCTAGTGTAATTTTGACACAATAGCCGTGTGTAAAACTGATTACGGAGGGGGGAGTGGGGGTTAAAATTGTCCAAAAATTGATTACGTAATATGTGAATATCCACAATGCCCCGCTATAACGCGGTTTTAAATCTAGATTATTCCCTCCCTAAATGCGCGTTATAGCGAGGTACCACTGTAAAATTGCTGATCTTCTCACAGCTAGTTTGCCCTCAGAGTAACGAGGAAAGAACTGCCGCCACTAGGGACCAGGATATGAGATGAAGGGCTACCGAACTGTAGTTGCAGAGATCGGAATCGCACTCCTTCACCTCACCTGAAATATTAGTAATATTAGTAATATTAGTAATATTAGTAATATTAGTAATATCACTCAGTTCAAACACAAAGAAATAATCTTAATCGCACTCCTTCACCTCACCTGAAATATTATTACTTGTGAGTTGTGAATTATCGAGCATATTTACTGCTCAGTGAATTATTGTCTTCTCTGCGCTGTAGGTATGTGGTATGTGATAACTTGTGTAATTCTTCCAGTCGCAAACTTTTCAGTTCAAACACAAGGAAATGATTCGTGGATGCAATGTTAAGTTAAATTGAATTATACATCTTCGCATAGCAAGAATACGCATAATCAGGATATGGTTAATTAAGACCTGCTTTCCAGTAGCCATTTACAACTGAAAACGCAGTTTACCGATAATCAAACGAGGTCATTCCGTAAAATTACTCTTGAATTTAGATTTATCGAGCATATTTACTGCTCAGTAAATTATTGTCTACTCTGCACTGTGATAACCCGTGTAATTCTATCAGTCACAGACTGTCTAGTTTGTTGCGTTTATTTGATGGTTTGTTGCGTTTATTTGATGGTTTGTTGCGTTTATTTGCTAGGTTGTTGCGTTTTTTTGCTAGTTTGGTGCAGTGTAACCTATAATAAAGTATTTAAGCAAAGTGGCCTTGGTCGGTGTACCTAAGTCCCAAACTAGTTCTACTAGCAGGGTCTCCTGCATTCATGTTTCTCGGTACCTGACAGACTTGTGAAATATGTTGGCCATTGGTAGACTCTGCTAAGAAAAAAAAAAGAGGTAAAATATTTCATAGTCGTTTAGCACTTAGACGCGTTTCCAATACTAGCAGAAACCCGTTTAACCCTTACTGCCGCCGGAATACTGATGTATGACCGGTGTCAAGTCTCAAGAGACTAAATGAATTATTACCTATTCAATTCGCGTTTTTGACACCACTTGGGGGTCCAAATTTTGGGCACTAAAATTGTTAATTCTTGGCCTATTTTTTATTTTTTCATACTGATTTGAAGGCCATTAAAGCATTTGACCCAGTCAAAAAAGTTTCAGTTGTATATCTTTTACAGTTTTTGCGGAAAGTCGCGTTATAAAGTTGATGCCGTGGTGTCAGTAAAATGGTACGGATATATATCGTCTCGCGGTTCTTTTGCGATAGTCAAAACGCGACAACTAGCGCTGGATGGCGACAACTAGCGCTATCCAGCGCTAGTTGTCGCCATCCAGCGCTAGTTGTCGCTATCCAGCGCTGGATAACGCTGGCCAGCGCAAAATATATATGTTCGATAATTGTCGCTATCCAGCGCTAGTTGTCGCCATCCAGCGCTAGTTGTCGCCATCCAGCGCTAGTTGTCGCTATCCAGCGCTAGTTGTCGCTGGCTATGCGACACTGTCGCACGCGATAGTTTGCGATGGCCAGCGCAACTGGCCATCGCAGAAAACAGTTCGATAACTAGCGCTGGATGGCGACAACTAGCGCTGGATAGCGACAACTAGCGCTGGCCAGCGCTAAGCGATAGCCAGCGCTGGCCAGCGCTGGCCATCGATATCCAGCGCAAAATTTTTGCGCTATTACTCGTCAGCTAGCGCTGGCCAGCGCTAGCCAGCGCTAGCCAGCGCTAACCAGCGCTAGCCAGCGCTAACCAGCGCTAGCCAGCGCTAGCCAGCGCTAGCCAGCGCTGGCCAGCGCTAGCTGACGAGTAATATCGCAACTATATTGCGCTGGCCAGCGCTGGCTGACGAGTAACACTAATATAATATCGAGCGTGCTAAATCACTCTACAGTGGATCTTCGAGTTCGAGATTGTTCTAAAAGGGCCCCCGGTGGTTGTGTCCAACTTCAATCGATGTATTTTCGGACGCTAATTCCGAATCAACCCCCTTGGGCCCATGACATAGGGTTAAAATGCTCTCCTGACGAGATATTGGCGAAAAACTGTACATGTATCGATCACGTGATATGACCGTATAAGGAAGTTAGTCTAATTTCTCGTTATTGTTAGGGTTTCAGCATATGTTTTTGTTAATGATTGGGTTAGGGTTAGGGTTGGGAATGGGATCAGATTAGACTTAGAGGGTTGGGGTTTCGAAAAGTCGTTCAGAACCAGCTAGAGTCAGAGAATGGATTAAAAAAGGCACGTGACAGTCAACTGTAAAGTGATTAATCATCATCCGAGTAATATCGCAAGTATATCAATATGATTTTGATACATTGCGCTGGCTAACGCTGGCTTGCGCTGGCTAGCGCTGGATAGCGACAACTAGCGCTGGCTAGCGCTGGATAGCGACAACTAGCGCTGGCCAGCGCTGGCTAGCGCTGGATAGCGACAACTAGCGCTGGCTAGCGCTGGCCAGCGCTAGCTGACGAGTAATAGCGCAAAAATTTTGCGCTGGATATCGATGGCCAGCGCTAGTTGTCGCTATCCAGCGCTAGTTGTCGCCATCCAGCGCTAGTTATCGAACTGTTTTCTGCGATGGCCAGTTGCGCTGGCCATCGCAAACTATCGCGTGCGACAGTGTCGCATAGCCAGCGACAACTAGCGCTGGATAGCGACAACTAGCGCTGGATGGCGACAACTAGCGCTGGATGGCGACAACTAGCGCTGGATAGCGACAATTATCGAACATATATATTTTGCGCTGGCCAGCGTTATCCAGCGCTGGATAGCGACAACTAGCGCTGGATGGCGACAACTAGCGCTGGATAGCGCTAGTTGTCGCCATCCAGCGCTAGTTGTCGCGTTTTGACTATCGCAAAAGAACCCGTCTCGCTTTATATATAGTAAGATATGGTAATATCCAAAAATTCAGCTGCAAACACTTTCAGTTTACTTACAGCCTCTAGCAGTCATGGTCAGGTTAGCCATGGTGTCCTCGGTACCGTTTACGTCTGCTATCCTCGTTTTATTTTCGAATGATTGACACGCCTGATTTGAGGAAGTTAAGAAACGTCAATCAAGCTTTATGTTTTGATGTTATTTATTATATACTATTATTATATTATGTTATTATAATTATAATGCCATCGCGTTTGCGATATATTTATATTCGTTATTATTATATATTAACGTTTAGATAATCTTAATTTGATTAAGCTTCATCCCATATTTCGGAGTTGAATTCATCGGATCAGGTTGATTTTCATGAGGAGTTTGGGTGGAGTTTGGGGTGTCACGGTGTAATGTTAAGTTTTCTTAGATACTGCCGGGGGCTATTGGTCGATATCATAAATTATTTCGCTTCCACCATTTTTGATAATTTGATCCGAACCAATTTAGTTGTTGACTTCAGATTAGGTACCTATACCTTGCAGCAATTTCAAGAGAAACTATGCGTTGGAATTTGAACGGTATTCTATCATTATTTTGTGAGATCGTCGTAAAATTGTCGAAACGACAGGTTTTACTCACGTGCGGTGATTTAATCAGTAATTAGTATTGTTGGTTTAAGAGGTTTACTCTGAGTAGTTTCAAGAGTTTGTTACAGACGGTTTATAACAAAATACACGTGAAGTATAATGGCAACCGCGCCAAACTATGATCGCATATTTTAAACGGTGTTCATGGCAGTATTCAGTAAATAAACAGTAAATACTAACAAACTGCTATAAAACCGTTTAAAATATAATCGTTGGTAGTCGTTGTCATTATACTTCACGTGTTTGTTGGTTGACCCCTGGGCTCTGTCTGCAACTGCAATTTATAAGCTAAAATCGCTTTAGTTTCAGTATAGTCCTATGATACTTCCAGTGAATTCAGACAATTTAGTGTCAAGATGGAGGTTTCCAGTTAGCGCTGGATCGCGCTAGCTATCGCGTTTACACTATCTCACTATCGCAAAAGAACCGATATCCGTGTTCATGATCATATATAGCCCCACAATGAAATATTGAACCCTGACCAAAAAACCCTGGACCAATTACTAAGCTTCAGTTTTAAGCATAAATTTTGGATCGGCTACAATATCATAACACTTAATATTTCCATAGTTGGTCAGTTCGTACAAAAGTCGTAAAAAATTCGTACAGTTCGGCACCTTTTTTCAGTTCGGGATTAGTTCGGGAAAATTCGCTTCATAAATTTTCGAACTTTAATTGAAAGAACTTAAGTCTTAAATTAACTCAGATGTCAGGCCTTTGATAGATAAGTACCTTTTCAAACGACCGGTGCTTTTAGCGAGGTTAAAATACTCTTTATCTACCAGTACTATTATCACGAAATCAGATATGAGTCAAGATTTATTTCATGGTTTAAAATCATTAAGAATTTTGTTCAAAGAAAGCGACCACTAAAAATAATTTTCACTTGACGCAATATCATTGATTTAAATTGGATTTCTTTGCGATATCACTACTAATATATCATAGAGATCAGGATTGATGCTACAGCACTCATTAAACGATTGCATTTTATAAACCAGATTTTAAAGTTATTTAATTGAATTGATAAGCTGTTTCTTAAACAACCATTCCATAGGTGCACAGCACATCGAAAAGTAGAAAGTTCAGTGCTGAACTTTTATAGATGAACGTGCAATTTAAAAGAGATCGACAACTTTGTAAAGCAGATTATAATTACATATAGTATTCCCACTCCCGATACATCTCAACCTGTGAGAGGGTATATTCTTGCCATTAGTTTAACTGCGTCAAACTTACGATGGTCTAGACGCGATATTTTCTCCTGCGTGGTGCTATATAACGAGAATTACATAACCGAGATTTTATTTTATTTTATACTCCAAATAGTCGGCATCGGTTTGTGACTGACTTTTGTACCACTGTACATCAGGGGTCGCTCCTATAATGAAATTTACCAAGGCAAGAATGCCTCCCTCCGTGACAAGTAACACTGTTCACTACATCCCTAGACTGAACATCACTGAACTTGGAAATGTTTTGGGCTGGGAAAACTATGTGCTCTATATAAACTAGCAGGAACCCGTCTAACCCTAAAGTGGTGTCAAGACTCAAGAGACTAAAATAATTAATATCTATTTAATTCGCGTTTTTGACACCACTTGGGGGTCCAAATTTTGGGTACTAAAATTCTTATTCCTTGGCCAATATTTTATTTTTTTATGCTGATTTGAAGGCCATAAAGGCATTTGACCCAGTCAAAAAAGTTTCAGTTGTATATCTTTTACGGTTTTTGCGGAAAGTGGCGTTAAAGTTGATGCCGTGGTGTCAGTAAAATGGCACGGATCCATCCATATATATCGTCTCGCTTTATATATAGTAAGATATAATCGCTGCTATTGACTTCTTCCTCGCTATAATCGGTGAGTATTATTAACGAACGAATCTAGTATATTATAACCAATATATACTAATAATCTCAATAGATGTGTGTGTGTGTGTGTCTGTCTAGTGTATGTCTGTCTGTATAGTGCCCAAAGAGTGCCGACAAAACTCTGACGAAGCCAAATGATTAAGGTTTTTCAAATCGGTCGGTGGTAAGTGGTTTAAAATTCGGTAAAAATTCCTCGACAGCTTTTTAAAATTCGTACAGTTCGGCACCTTTTAAAAGTTCGTACAGTGCGTACTGACCAACTATGAATATTTCAGACCAACTTATTTCCGGCAATTTTCGATTACCGTATCAGTATCACTATCTGCAATCTGTTAAACCCGATTTGTTTAAACTGCTACGCATAATACCTTATTGGACCTTATTTGGACGGACATTAATTGAACGCTGGAGGCTCTAACGTTCATCTTAAGGTCCATCCAAGTTAAAGTCCGTTGAATTTTTTTCAAACATTTTTCCACTTCGAACTTTTTGTCCAGAATATGACAACTATGAGAACTTTATTGTGCCGTAAGTTAACGACAAAAAGGTTCTCCTTGGTCTGCCGGAGGCACTGAAAACTCTACTAGTATATGATGTTTTCAAGGGTCACTTGGCGGAAAAAGTCAACGAAATTATGGCACTCAACAACATAGTTCATGAGCTAGTCCCCGCGCGCCAACATGACAAACTTGTTCCAGCCTCTAGATATTACAGTAAATCGTGTTGCAAAAGACATTGTCCGACGTTGTTATAGTTCATATTACTCAGGGGAGGTAATGAAACAGTGCTAGGAAAGCTCCACGTGATGTTAAGGTTAACCTAAAGTCTTTATCTAGAATTAACTTAGTTAAAGTGGTTTCGAGTAATATTTCAGCGGCAACTCAGCAACTGCAAGTATAAGATATTTGCACTTATGTAGCAACCAGTGTTACTTGACCAATTATTGAACGTTTTACAATCATAAAGGTGCTCCACTGCTCCAATTCATCACACTTAGGATAACGTGAAGATTATTGTGACTGTGTGTAAAACTTGTTGCTTAAACTCGTCGCTCTATTTATTATAAACACAGAACTCGATTAATGTTGCGATGTTGTTATCGATTCTTCCATGATGCACTTTTATTTTCTTAATTTATTCACAGCAGGCAGCACCACACCACTTCAACTCATTCAAAAATTGATTTGACCAAATATTCAAGGTAATAACTTAATTTTTTCTATGTATTTATTATTTCATTTTACTGTAGTTTATATTTTATTGTGGTCTGAACTCTGACATATATTTATATAGATCTCAACTCTTGTTGTTATATTTCACTATTATTTATATAATATTTGTAATATTTTACTATTATTTATATTTTCTTGTGGGCTGATACATAAATAGATCTTAGCTCACCCTGAGACTGGCGTTACTGTTTTCCAGAGCACATCCCCTCACACTTTGAATCATATCAAAACTTGCGTTCACTGGCGTGAGAGGCATTTGGTAGTCCACTGTTACCCTGTAAAATGTTTCCTTGTGTTTGAAAGCTTGTTTTCAACGTAGATTAATCCAGGATTGGTTGACTGTGAAGAATAAGATCTCGGCAGATTACTTTATTTGAATTTTGAGACAGTTATTCAGGCCGAATCACTAGTATTAGTAAAATATAACGTTACCGCATGTTACCGCATGTTACTGCATGTTACCGCATGTTACTGCATGTTACCGCATGTTACCGCATGTTACCAGTTACTATCGATACAGCGGTAATACAACCTCAGTAAAGGGCGCCTGCCCGCCCGGCAATCCTTCAATTTATTAAATTTATTTAAATAAAATCATGTGACCGTGATTATGTTGATTAGACTCAAGTGTAATTGTTCACGTCTGTGGTCTATTATATAACTGTACCCCCAACTTCTTTATTCATGTCACGAGGTTTGGTCGTGTGAGATGATTGATGAATATCTCACTGCGAGTCGCATATAAACGCGCCACGTGACCTGTATTAGCATGCCACGTGATATGTATTAGCATGTGCCATGTCTGGAATATGGATTATGGATATCTGGAATGGCATTATATTGTACCTACTAATTACTGATAATAGCCTCCACTATTTATAATCTTAATTCTATTATAAAATAGTGAAGTTATCGTTTACCCCATGTCAATATATTCACGTGATACAATTATTCTTTTATAATGGCTCACTCGTCATCCGCCTTCGAATCAAATTCTCGAGCATCATGACGTGATAGTAATAGACATGGTAATTTACGATTTAATTATACTGCTATTTAAGTGAACCCTTTCATTTGCTCCATAAATAAGTGTTCGTTAAAGTAATAAGCTAATAAGGGTCAAAGTAAAGAGGGGTTTTACTTGCATTGTTTGTTTTGATGTCTCACAAACTATTTGACAACATACAAAACTGAGATTTTTCATCTAAATTTTGGATAACATTTTACTTTTTAGGTTCCAGTTTTTTGAAATCTTGGATAAGCTCCACTAACGTTAGGTGTATTGTAGTGCAGACTTCCCAAACTTCACATTCCACAACGTCCGGACTATCCGTGGAATTTGTAGTTACATTCTGGAAAATCGGACAGTTCCGCAACTTTCCCCCTGAAAATCATATTTTTGTTAACATATACAATTTTACGGCAGGAGGCCAGCGACGTTCGACAATAGCAGAGAAAGAGAGAAAAAATTTAAGTTGTGACCACGATTGAGTTAAATCACTCTAAGTCATAAATATTTCTTTTGATTACTCGTTAATAAATCGAGTACAATTCGTCTTCGGAGAACGAATACCAGAAATCGTTATTTAAAGTCCATTAAAACTTAAAGTAATTTAAAGTCATTTAAAGTCCATGTTGACTAATGATAACAAAATTGGGGTCCTTAACTTATACGTCTCTCCACAGATTCATTGATGTTTAACTTGAACATTTGTAAATGATTTGCATAACTATTCAGCATATTCATTGTAATGGTGTGGTCGCCGTTATCTAGACTCATAAGTAGTCCTAGGTTCCCAGATTAGTATATAATTCTAACGGCTAGCCCATTGCGCCAACATTATAAAATATTAATCCCTACAACTGTTGGTACAATCCTAGTTACATACCACTTTTTGAGCTGGCCTCTAATATCTCCCCGTCGACTGATTCTTCCTCAGCCTCATCGTAGAAACGCTGAATTGCTTCAGCGGTTTTCTCGTCCGCTAAAAACCAAGCGGACCCTGCTGCTGATATGTCGTAGCATCTCATACACCGCCGCTTGGCTTGTCGCTGGACCGCCTAGAAGTACGTAATAGTGAGCTAGAAGTACGTAATAGTGAGCTAGAAGTACGTAATAGTGAGCTAGAAGTACGTAATAGTGAGCTAAAAGTACGTAATAGTGAGCTAGAAGTACGTAATAGTGAGCTAGAAGTACGTAATCCCCGATTAGAGTGTTGAATTTAAAGACAAACTGGAAGAGTAATTGCTGGACTCCGTTCAAAATTTACGAGCTATATTTCAAATATCTTACTCGTCACTCGATTGGTTTGCTTTGAATTAATAAAACCGCTAAAAATAACGCTTCATTTGCCGATTAGATTGATTACATAAACGTTTATTTCCATTGGTTGCTGGCATAGTGGCAACAATGTCCAAAAGACCAACTACACAATTGGTCATAAAATAGTAAACTGTCGGGTTATGATGATGATAACCTAACCACTTCTTCGACTCGAAGAAGTTACTACGGTCAGTTACTACGGAATGTGAGATCATATCACCATTCACTGTTACCGACTTATCCATACTCTGTGGCATACCATAACTTTAAATGACAAGAAAGAACTTTGAAGCTTCCTTCTTTATTCTTTCCCAATACACCTTCAATCAGATATATATTTTGAATATACAGAATTTTCAGCCTCACCACTTTTAGACTTTTTGGTCTAATGGCTTGTAGTATGTTCCTGTAGTCAGACACGAGTCTCAGCCAGAAATCACGTAACCTTTCCGACATCACGTCACTTCACGTGCGATCTGGTCAGTTATACGGGTGATTCCAATCTAAAATTTCTTTGACAAATACTCTACAATGCAGCTTTACTTGTCAATGTCAGTAAGTTGTAAATACTAGCCGGAATCCCGGATTCCGGGAATCCGTCTAACTCATTTCCTGATTTTGACAACGCCTGGTGGTTCATTTTTCGGGACCTAAATTATTCATTTCTTGGCCGATTTGTATTTCTTCATACTAGTTAAAAGGTTATACTTATATTTATAAAAGCATTCGACCCAGTCAAACAGATAAACAGATATTTGGAATCTTCCCTACATTTTTATCTTTCTGAGATATCAATGGCAAATCAACATACGATTGTGTCTATGTTGGCGTCTTATGTTCGTTTTATTTTCAAATTTTACGAACGTTATATTCTAATCGAAAGATTTAACTCCAGAGATTATCCTTTATAGGTCGAGAGCTTCTTAAAATATTCCTCGGTGGAGTTGTTCCTCTGACGGCAGTATCTGAAACAAAAAACACAAAAAACTAACCTCGACATAGTGCATCAACACGCAAACAACAAACAAAGAAAACAGACGTTTCATTTTGAACTGATTATTACTGAAATATTTGCTCGTAAGAAACGAGCTGGTCAGTCGGTAATTATGACATATTCTTTGCGGTGATGGACCACTTGTAGACCACGTGTAGACCGCGTGTAGGAAATCAGTGTGGACACGTGGTATCATTACCTGGCAGATTTGTCCTTACCTGTGAGTGAAAACCATGTGTGTAGATTATGTGTGCAGACTGCAGAGTAGAGTCATAACTGGATGTTTGACGGAAGGTGTCATCACCTCATGAATTAAACAGGAATTAAACAGGAATTAAACAGGAATTTGAGGCGCTGGCGAGTGTACGTCATAACATTTCATCCCTCCTCCCATCACAAAGCTTACCACGTGACTTGCCACGTGACTTACCAACCACGTGACACCCACCTACGTCAACTCCACCGTAATACTTACCATCTCAAGATTCACAAGTGTCGAGGTGTTGCGAATCTGGTTAGGTAATGCAAGTCAGCATCGTATTTCACGAAGCTTCCCACGACCCACGTTGACGTAGACGCCATTCATGCTTTAATCCTTTAAAATCTTAATAGTGGCAAATGCAGTTGTTGTGAATGGCCGTGAATGAACCATTTAAAATTCACGTAGAGATCCTTCATGCTTTAACCCTTTAAACAGTGGCAATATATTTTAGGTAATACTAATTAATATTACTATATAACTCATTATAGGATTCTTAAAGACTGTCCGGTAAACGAGCAATTTAACGATCTTTAAAGTGGTTCAATTTTAACTTTTATTTACGACAATAACCGCTATCAGTTTATTATGTAATGTTTCAACGGAGTTACTTTTATTCATTTCCTGTTTTCGGGTTTCCCGTTTGTGTAAAATATAATCATGAACAATTCTTGGGAATCTGTAATCATGTGATGAACTATGCTAGACAAACCTTCTCTTCAGGCTGGCAGGACTGTCATTACAGGCTTCGTAATGCTAGTACGGGCGTACGGCAGGTTTGTCAGAGCAACCATAATCTACCCTGCATATAATATTAATATTATCATAATGCTATTGTTGTTCCAGAAATTATACCCAACAACAAGATGGACAAATTAGTGATAATTAAAGTTTTTGTTAACTCAGTACTAATTTCAACTCAACATTTTAATTATTTAATATTCTTGGTTGAATTAATGCTTTAATGATTGGAACAGAGCTTTCAATCATTTTGTTGAACTAAACATTTTGTTCAACTTAAACAGCAGTATTTAATAATCTAAGCTATATGGCATGCTTGTTTGTAAATTCGTCTGTTTTAATTCCAGATGACTTTTAACATTAGTCACTTATTCGTGAACGACTCAAGCTTTTGCTTGTAACCGCTGAAGAAGATGCGAAATTCACGAAACATTGCAATATACACAGTCAACAGGCCGAACAGGGTGACCAGGGTAAACAATGTTTTAGTAAGGTTTTCTCGATCACAAAGTTTTATCTTCCGGGAAACATTTCTCTTCTGCATCAGCTTCATAAAATAAACACTTGTAATGGTAAGATAGATGTTAAGGGCGATAGCCGATAATAGCGATAACTTTCCTCTGCACTTTCTGTCTTCTAATTTAGTCTCACGGACCTCTGCAACACGTGACAAGTACCGTGTTAGTCACGTGACGATCATCCGCCTTGGTAACCAGTCACGTGACAACCAATCGCCCTGGCAACCAGTCACGTGGCAGCCTCTGATTGGCGCGCGCGCAGATATGTAAAACAACGGTTTTACTCTTTAGACTCTGACACAAATTTGCGAGCGTGACTGATCACGCGTGTGTGCCGTACATAACAGGCTCAGGTTAAAATTCCAATAACGTACTTGTTGTAGCCATAACGTCGTTGTCATTTTATAGCTCTAGTCATTTTATAGCTCAATTAGTCAGCACTTTGTCACACTTAATACTATATTAGGCTGGACTCGTTTATCCCACATCATCACCTATATCCCCTCTGGTTGACCATTAATATTATCATTAAATATAATGATATATTATTATATCCGTTGTGCAGTGATTGAACTTGAAGCGAGATTCATGTACCTACGTATTTTTGGTTCTGACGATACGGTGACGAACTTTTTTCTCTGAACCTAGTCTACCCCAGTGTTTACTGCTCTATACCACTGCTTAGTTATAATTCTATGTTTATTCCATTTTCGGTTAAACGTGTTGATCTTGATTCGAGTTTCAAACATGATTTAAAACTTTCTATAGCAGGGAAGATTAAAGGGGAGCTTCATTTTTAATATTTTTCCTACTACACGCCAAAGTCAAAAGGGAATCGGCACGTGCGGAATCGCAATTTTTCCCATTCTCCACGACAAATCGCGATTTTTGAAGTTTGCCGCGAAAAATTGCGATTTTCTCAGATCCTCGCGACAAATCGCGATTTTTCAGTTCTCCGCGACAAATTGCGCATTTTTTCTTTAAATCTGAGGACCAAATTTGCGCAATCTCCTTTAACTCCGAGAGCCAAATATCACGTTCTTTATAATATAAGGGTGACCGACGACTGAACCCAATTGAACCTAGTTCCCAAACAGTTAACAGTCAGTTAACTGGGCACCCAATCAGCTTAATTGGGTGCCCAATCAGCGTAAATCCCAAGACGACAACTGAACCCAAATTTTCCAAATCGTCAGACGAAGTTTTTCATTTTTAGGCCAGAACTTGAAAAGATCTTTAATGGACTGACTAGGGACATCAAATTCAAGGATTTTGAATAGTTCCATAAATGTATGATACATGTGCAGATTCTCCGGATTCATAATCAATGATAATGTTCTGCTCAGTGACTGCAGTGCAGCGGTTTAGTGTGTTCAAGACAGTAGTTCTTGCTAGCCATTGTATATGTTTATTATAAGTTCTCGAACGTGCACATGTTAAGTAGTATTCTTTATGATCAAAATCGAGGATGTTACCAAATATAGCAGTCTTATAGATCGCTTTGCAATTGCACACATTTTATTCAGCCTGTGTTTTTGGGATTTCGATTCCACCCCAGCAACTTATACAATAGCCGGCAATAGCTAGTACAAGCTAAACATAAAGACAAGGTGCCGTTGTCTTGTGCATAGTGCCGTTCTCCATGCGGTTCGGCTTTGTATTAGAGATTCCTGAAGGCACGCTGATCGAGAAAAGACGACTTCAAGCCTCCATCGTACTCCGTTTTATCGATTCGTATATGTAATGTACCTAAATATATAATAGCTTATAATGTTAGTTATACGTAGCTGTTCCATCTTGTAAACAATTTCTCCGGGGCCTTTGAAAGTTAGCCTCAACTTAACTTATAATCCTCCAGAGGACGTATAGTAGACCGACAGTGTTTGTTATCTTCCACTAATCCCGAAATAAACACCTCCGAAGAATCCTCAACATCAGATGGCCTACTGGGGTTATTTCTAATGAGGCACTCTATGCTCGTTGTTATGTCACTCCCTTGTCTGTGAGAGTCTCTAAGTTTCGATGGAGAATGTTAGGACATATCTTAAGAGGACAGGAAGACTCACCAGCATACACCTCTATGTTATTTGCTATAAATTCTGATATTTTTATGGAAGGGAGACGGGGTAGACCATGTTTAAACTTATTAGATGTTATTAGAAAAGACTTGACTAGTAGAAATCTTGATATTAGACTTAAGAATTTGACTGATTTCGAAGACCTTAGATTTTTAGCTTTAGATAGGGAGGAGTGGAAGAAGTTAGAAGATGGTTGATGTTTTTGTTTTCTTTTTTATGCGTTTTGATATCTATAAGGTGCCTAGGATGCTCTTTTAAAGAGATATTTCGTACTTTGAAAGATTTACTACTAATCCCGAAATATCACCGCTGTGGCCAATATAATAAAGTAGTGTCAGAGCTTGCTTATTTTTAATGGAACGTATCCAATATCATTTTTAAAGCAATTCATAATCGAATACTAGTGTTCATTAATTGTGATGAATCCTATTTATAACTTACTATATTGATAAGTAGATATTAGATTGATCAAGTCATAATTAAGGAAAATACGTGAAAAATAATATGGGGAAAACAATGATGATGACCTAAATTTTGGTAGTGCGAAAATATGGTGTTTTTTTTTTCGAAAAACCACCGACTTTCGTACCATTTAAATATGTCTCGTAAGTTATGCTGTTTTATAGCAATAATGTATTCGAGATTATGTATATATTATTGTTTTGCTTATCATACAGCTTTTCAATATTTTAACTTTTTAGAATATTTAAATCAGATAATTTACCGTCAATCACATTATTATTTATACCACAATTTAATTAAACATTTATATTTAAGCACGCACCGGATAGCTTATTAAACTTGATGATGTTCCAAACAAAAAAGAAAGAATGTGCTTACTGATTTCGAAGCATCATGGACAAGACTGGCAGATGTTTATAATTATTGGTATACTCAAAGAAACTCATGCGAGTCAGGGAGACCACCTTCGTACTCTGACCACGTACTGATCACTACTCAAAGCTGAATTATTATTTACTTGATGAGAACTCAGCGACTGTTTAGCAGTGGTGGCCTACTTTATTGGCGGCATTTTTTATTAAAGACGGCCTCTTCATAACTAGTAGTAACCTCGATTATTAGAAGCTTTGATTTTTGTAGGAAGGTAGATTTGCCAATTTTATTCGCCACTAAATGGTTGGCTCGAACAACGGTACCTTCCGGTATGTATAGTTCTATGGTATAGTAGTGGCCCTTACCTACGATGCTGCTTACGGTATAATGTTAATAAATGCCAATCATTCCAACCTCCGCCGTTTCTCGCCTTCAACTTGTTCTTCTTCCGGAGCTATTATATTATTTGCCTATTTTGCCTACAGAAGTTCGCCCTTCTGGGAATATTTGTAGGTCACCACACTCAATAATAATTTTTCGCACATATACTGATAAAACTGGCGGGTAGCAATTAAACAGTAAACCTTTAACAAAAGGATTTTTTCCCTGAAACATTTATAAATCATTCACAGCAG